GTTGTAACAACTTGTTGTTGTAACAAGATTTGTTATTGAAACAAGACTAGTCAAGTCTTGAGAGTTGTACTTAGGTTACAAGCACTCAATTAAACTTGTGATTATAGTTAAAAATCTCAAGGGTGATTTTGAGGACTAGATGTAGTTGTTAGGCTGATCCAGGATAAATCATTGGTGAAAAAGCTTTTCTTCCTTAAGTCTCTTCTTATTTACTTCTACTTTTCTTCAAATCCAAAAAAATTAATTGTCACCCAATCCAACCCTTTCTTGGGTGCTAGCCATATCTAACATAGTTTCCATATACCCTCAATGTAATTTTACTTAGATTAAAAATTAATTTATAATATTAAAGTCATTTATGTTACTTTACAAATCTAATCCTCTTTCTTAATAAAAGAAATATTTGAACCTAATCTCTTTCAAGTACAAAAAAAAAAGGGTACTAATTATATGGGTAATTCTAGTACCCATATAGGGACAAATTTTAACAAAACATCACAATTTTTCTTTTTAACTAAGGGAGAATTTCAATAAAAATCCCTTGACCATACTTAATTACATTCAAAAACCTTAATTTTTTTTAAATTTCACTATAGACTAGGGGTACTAATTTGATATTAAATTTCTAAGGAAATGAGAAATTTCATTTAAATTAATATCAGGATTGCCCTACTTCACTTGTTTATTTACTTATTAAATGTTATTAATTGCCCTACTTCACTTGTTTATTTCCTTAAAATGAAATCAAATGAAAGTCTAGCAATGAACAAGTGAAGTAGGGTAATTGACATAAGTAAATGAATAACATACAGTATAAGAATTAATATGTTGTCTTACAATAATTTAAACACCTAAAATAAAAACAAGTTTAGTAGGGCAATTAATAATATTCCATGATTAAATGAACAAGTGAAATAGAGAAATTAACAAGTAAAGTGAGGAACTTCATATATTAATTTAAAGAAAGGGAAATTTTATTATTTCTCTCATAAATTTAATATCAAATCAATACCTCTAGATTGAAATAAAATTTCAAAAATTTAAGGGCTTTGAATGTAAATAAGTTTGGTCAAAGGTGTCCTTTATTGAAATTCTCCCTTTAACTAATTGTTTCCTCCACCAATTTCATATATTTCAATTAGAACTTAACTTTATCTCCCTAATTTGTCCAGACTTACAAGATTTTTGAAGCATAAGCTCAATGAAACATATTATTCTTTCTTTATTTCATATCATTTCTCCTCTCCTTATCTATGGGACCAGATACACAAGAAATTAGTGACAAACTTAGATAAAAATCTAAGCAAAGGAAAAAGAACATGTGTAGAGAATATATGTGTATATATATATATATATTGCCAACATTCTATATATGTGATATACAATTTACATATCATATTATCCAAGCCAAATAACTCAGGGTTTTGATACCAAGTTGTAAGCCACTATTTACTAATTAACCCACTAACACTCACCACTTATCCCACATCTTAATATGATCCCATCATACTTTTCATTCAATAAACATAATCATAAATTCATCTTTTATCCAAATAACTAACTATAGCCCTTATGGGCTTGTACTCAAAGAGTTAGTCAATTTAATCCAACATAAACACATACTGAAATACTATGCACTAACAGTTTTAGTTGGCAACATATAAATATACACAATATAAATCCTCTATACATGAACACTAAGGCATTACAGACAATTACCCATTGCGTGTCTCTAATTCCTTTTTCCCTTGCACTTACAAAGTGTCACTTGTAAAAACATTAACAACAGGGAGTGAGATAAAACTTTCAATGACTAAGGAATTCCTAACTTCTAATATATATTCAAATAGCATTTAAGGTTGTATAAGGATAATAGTCTCACACCCCAAACCACAAAATCCCATATAATACCACATATTAATATAAATATGCATGCATGATCATCTACCTCCTTATAACCTTCTTATTCCTTCTGACTGAGTCCATGGGCTACCAGGTGATAGTATTGAATCTAGATATCCTAACTTGCCCCTAAGCTCTCTAATATTTGAGGGGTAACTCAGCCAAAGGTCACTGCTTACCAAACTTGGACCATAGACTCCCTTGCCCATAAAGTGTCATATAATTGCCAGTATACATATCCACTCCTAGAGTGAGTATCATCAACTAAGTTAGAACCACACCTAATCCCTGTCGGAGTCGGTGCCATAGCCAAACAACTCAAAGCACTATCCAGATATTGTCCATGCCAGGTGGACTTAAATATATTCTTTCAGATCATAGGGCGAACTCCCACCTATTTATTCACACATGTATAACACATTTATGATCATGCTAGTCTCATATTCTCAATATTTTTACCGCATATACAAATCACATATTTCTCAATAATTTATAATTCTATAATAACAACAATTCATGATCCCACAACACTTCATAATTACACAATAATTCATCATTCCACAATAATTTATAATATATCACATTTAATATTCTAATCCATAGCTCAAGTTTGCAATACATATATCACATATACATACATCTTTTGTACATTCTCATATACATACATTCATACATACATATATAAAGTTCATGCTTACACATTTTTCCTCAAGAACATCATTTATAAAAAAAATATAAAATAAATGCTAGAATTAATATATGAGGGAGTTTAGGTTCCCGGTTACCTCCAGCCATTGAGTCAATCAAAAAGGCACTCAAAGAATGCTTTCATTGCACAATGGCCATAAAATATTAATCTATAATTAACATCATAGAATTCATCATTATTGGGCACAAGTATATACCCAATGCTACCTGTGGCTTAACATAACATTCTAAACTCATTTGGTTAACTAGTTTAGAGTTTTCATTAACTTTATTAAATTTTTTAGACTCGTAAAAGCCTATTAAACTCACTCTAAGTCTCCTTAATCTATTATTTAACTGTAAGGATTTTTTATTAGATTTAGTGCTTTAGGTTAAATCTCATATCAAGGATGAAGTTAATAAATTTTACATGAGGAAACGAATCAAAGATCCAACCATTAAAAATACCAAGTTGGATGTCATGGTCTAGATGACCTAATTTTAGACAGATCCAACAGTGAAAAAATTCACAAATGAACATTTACCAAGGCTATTTTGTGACAATGTGAAATGGTTGTTATGAATGGTAAAGTTAATAACTCTCTATTCAAACAACTAATAAATGATCTAGTTGTTAATAAAAAAGAATTGGATGTCTTGAACATGATGACCAAATTTAAGCACAATCAAATAGTGAACCAATTCAAAACATCGATTTAATAAGACTGCTTTGTGAAGATGCAAAAACAACTATTACAAATGACAAAGTTTATAACTCTCTAAGAAGGAAACTAGTCAACGAGTCAACCGTTGAAAAGGACGAATTGGATGTTATGAACTTGATAACCAAATTTAACCCTAATCCAACTTTAAACAAATTCATAAAGGTTGATTTATCAAGGCCGTTTTTGTAGATGCAAAAACAGTTTTCTCTCTACTTCTCTCTTGAATGGCTATAGCTTAATCTCGGGTATACTATTTCTCTCATGACCTAATCTAACCCCTATCTTCTCTATTTAGTGAAACTCACAATATATTTCAATATTGGGCCTTTCTTCACATAAGAAGGGTACCCAAACTTGTTAACCTTAGTTTTTCCTCAAAACATAATCTAATTATTAATTAAACCTTATAATTTTTATAAAATTTAATTCCAAAATAAAAACTTAATCATATATTTTTCTTAAATTAAATTCTCAAATAAAAATAGAATGTTACACCCCTTTTGTTATTGTGTAGGGTTAATTATTGTATTTATAGTGATTATTGAAATGATAAAATATTTCTGACAATCCTTTTGATTAGTTATATTACTTTAAGCACTAGAAATTCTATTTTTGAAATTAGTTTGAGCGTGCACCATCTTATCATAATATACAACTTAAATATACAAAAATATTCATATTTAATTATGAAAAATAGTAATATTCAAATAAAGAAATCCTTAATTCTCAAGTAAATGAAAATTTCATCCATAAAATCTTATTCATGTCTTAGACAAATATTAATTATAAGTTCTTTACTAAAAAAACATTAATTATAAGTTTCTAACAATAATAAAATATAATACCATTAAAAATATTAATTGAGAAATTTAGATTCAATTTATGGTTCAATATTTAGAAGAGGAAAGAGAGAAAAAAGGAGAAAAATAAATAAAAGTAACTCGATTCAGCCTATTAACTTGGTTGGGTTGAAGCCTGGGTTGGTCTCGAATTGACTAGTTTATAGCTTCCTTGATTTAACATATCAACTAGACTGGCCTAGTGATTAGTTCATATGGTTATTGATCTAATTAGCGATCTAATTAGCTGGTCTGGTTTTTTGTTCCATTAGTAAATAAAATATCAACACAAAATCATATCACACTATATATTTAAATTTATGATAAAAGCATTGTAATATGTTATTGATATCTTCAAGACTTCAACCAATTTAACCAAATATTAAATTAAATAGTAATTAAGTAATTGTAAATTAATTTAGCTAAATAGCTTCATTAAATTGTTCAGCCCATCAAAGACTCATCTAAAATTTAACAGGTGTCATTTTGGTTTTCAAGAATGGTTAATTAAGTACATATCTCACTTTCAATTATTTTACACATATTCAGAAAATATTTTTTTTTGATATCATAAAAAAAGTGAGATGTACTTTTATTTTTATCCTTAATTTTAAATAATAATACAACTATATCTACTATCTTTATACTAATTAAGAAGAGGTAAAACTGAAAAAAAGTAATTTAATTACTATAAAATATTTTATATTTTTTATTAAAAATTATTTTTAAGAGATGTCTTGTAAATAGTGCTAGTGGGGGTAAAATAGAAAGCAAAGTGAAGTTCTTTGTTGGACAATAATAATTAAGCTAATGGTCAGATATCTAAGGCCCAAGTGCGGAGCTACCCAGTTTTACAAACTCCGAGGCAGAAGCAGCATCACACGTCGAAGATAAGGTTAAAACTCTTGCTCTAAATAAAATACAAATCACGAAGCGCCTATCGTGCAAAGACTCTGTGGAGAGGTGATGAAGAGCTAGCTATAGCTATGGCGAAATCTGGAAATCTGGCATTCACAGTTTTGAATTCATCACCTTCTAATTACTTAGTATCAGCGATTAAACCCAGAACCAAAACTCTCAGCATCATTCAGACTACTTGCAATTATGTTATCGCTGCCACTAGTTCTTCTAACAAAAGCAATAAGCAGCTCCACTCACCATTGGTACGTGCCTATTATATAACTTCTTCATTATCGATTGATTTCTCATATATAGCTTACTTGTTTAGTCCTTTAATTCTTGAATTTACATCTTCGTTCTCGGTTTGAAATTCTCTGATCGTGAGCATGGCTTCTCTGCGGTGAGTTCAGATCGTCGAATCTTAATTCTATGGTTAAAGAAATTAATTATCAATGATGATAATGGCTTGATCGGTACCAAGTAGATGCCAATTATTCTTTTTCAGTGTAACTATATGTTTTAACCAAGCATCGAATATATACGGTGATGTTAGTTATAACTTATAACTTCATTAGAATGGAATACTTCCAAGTTCCAACGTTATCCAAAAAAAAAAAAAACTGGAGTACTTCTTTATTTATTGTGGAAGATGTCCTGTGCTGTCCGAGTGTGGCACGTATTAACCCACGTACATGCAGTTATTATTGATTAATTTACTGTGCTTTTTTAATTTTAGATTTTAAAATTTGATTGAGTGGGGCAAAATTTAGCTATCAATAAAATAGGATTTGTATTAGAATTTAGAAATACATGATCATATACCATCAATTAGTTATTAATTCTCATTAAATATGTCCATATTTTGAATCATTTTCTAAAATTACCCTTCCTCGCTCAAAGTTTATTAAACTAGGCCGAACAAAAAGTTTGTCAAACTAGTTTAGTTTTGTGAATTTTTTCTATCCACTTAATTAAATATACTTAAGAAAATCAAGTAACTAATGATTTAGAAATGTGTAAAATCTCATCAAAAAGGGTTAAATTTTTTTTAAAAAAATTTCTTATAAAAAGCCTAATTGATAACTAAATTTTAAAGGCGTTAATTAGTACATGTCATATTTTATTTTTCTCCCTCATAGTATAAGATTATAAATTTCATAATTTTTCATGGAAAATATAATTTCTATAATGAATTTAATATAACATATAAATATATTTTTATATACTAATTATTAATATTTTTTATAAAAATTTATAAATATTGCCCCTACTAGGCTAAGGCCCCTCGCTGCATATAAGATTGAGGAACTGCAAAATGGATTAAGAGTAAAAAATAAACTAAGGTGTAACAACCAATTGAAGTTAAGGAAATTTTGTAAGATTCTTACAACTTTTGTAAAATATGGTTGATAGTTGACAATTAATTAATTAATAGTTGATTGTCTCGTTATTTTTGTAATTATCATTTTTCACAATTTACTATTTATAACCTTGGTATATTTCATTAGAATCAATAAAAAAATTTAAAACATTTTAATTCATTATAAAAATTAATTAATTTTTTTTCCATCCATTAAAAATACATATTTTAATCATGTATCTGTAAAAGTCGTCAACCGGAGCGTGGTTATATTTTTCTTTTCATTTTGCATTCTTTCAATTATACTCCGTATGTTAAAATAATATAAAGTATTTTTTAAAAAATTATATATTAAAAATGTAAATTATTTTAAATTTTTAAAATATAATTATTATCTTTTTATTAAAAGTACTTCTATTAATAAATATATTTATATTTATTGTAAAGTATTTAATAAAAATAAATATAAAAAAATATAATTAATTTAAAAATAAGTAAATATTTTATTGAATAGTAAAATTTAATTAAAAATATTTTATGCTTTAAACGAAGGGAGTGCACAATTACATGTGATATGTACGAAAACAAAGGAATATCCTAAATCTTTGCCCTGCTCGTTCCTGTGTCCGAACAGAGGTTCTTTAACTAACCTGATTCTTCCCTTCTATTTGATATGTCTTTAAAATCATCAAAGATTTACTCGTTTTTATAGTCTTCGTGTTAGAAATTAGGATTTGTATCTTGTAATGAGCATATTCATTCATTCGAATTGTTTAGTTTGATTGTCTGTTGAGCGGGTTTCGGCGGGTTGAAGGGTGAATTAGGCATTACTGGAAGAGTTAAAGTTAAAATGGCCAATAACAAATATATTTTTAACAGTTGTGTGAAGCATGACAAAATGGAAGAAGCTGATAATAACCTTTTCCAATTCCCATAATCCTGAAATTAAGGAGCATTGATTGTAAAGTGAACCTGATGAAAATCAAGTTGTATCATCAAAGGAGAACCATTACTAAACCAGTGAACAACACTTCGTTACTTGTCTAGCGTTTTCTTTCTTCGACAATGTATCTTAATTTGTGTTTTAGTTTGCTAGCCTCTACTCTTAACCAAGGAAGCACCAGTTTTGTTTTCTTTTTATGAACACTGTAAACTGGTACCTTTTCATATATGTTATGAAAAGCCAAACTATGATACTGTCTTTACTTTAGATATTCCAGTGTGGGGAGTCCCTATTCTTTGAGCATCAATCAAAGAACTTGCGTGATCTATTCCAACATCAACATTCTGTATATGCATAAAACTTGCCCTGATTATAATATGATGACAGGCTAAATGACTCCATCCACATTTTCTTGGTCAATTAATAAGCCTGATGTATGTAAAATGTTTTAGTGGCAAACTAAAGCTTTTATTACCAATAAGTTCAATGTAAAATATTTTAGTGATGACAAACTATCTTCAAGTAAATTTAGTGGCAGCTTTCATCATCACAATGACATAGTAAAGCTGCTTGAAGCAAGTTAAGTAGTGACTTATTTTTCCATTGATAAAATAATCTATTTAGCTTCTAAGCTAAACCCTTTGTATTTACCACTTATTTTTTGCTGCATGACAGATAGGAAAGCCAAGTAGAGCACCACGTCGTCTAATCACAGTATCAACGAGTGATGGAAAATGGCATGGTGAATGGACAAGTGATTACAAATTGTCTTTGCAGGACCTACAATTACAGGATTTGGTTGAGGTTGAAGAAGACAAAAAGAAAAATGCCCAAGTGTTGGTCAGCCTTAGCATCCAAAAGGTTCTTCCTCTTTTGATTTTTTAACATATATGTCTCTAGGCATCATGTAACATATTTTCTCTTAATTTTTTATTATAATAATTTACTAACAAGCTTTGAATAGTATCAGTGTAGAGATTGTTTATTTCAATTGACCATAATATCGTATTTAATATTTATTGCCTGCATATTACAATGAACTAGCATGCTAGCTTTGGCTTGACAGTAGATGGAAACATTGTGACATCATTCACTCGAAAATGCAGTAATTGCTCTTCACCTTATTGCCGACAGGTACCTTATTTCCTCTCATGATAAATTGCTGCTTTTTTTTTTTTTTTTTTAAGTTTAAAGCAATATTTATGAAAGTTAAGTTTGGAGAACAAATCATATGGTTTTATAATGTATTGTTGGACATGTTTAAATAATACATATGATAGAATAGCCTTGATCTTAAGTTGGCTAGTTGCTCAATTCAAAAGGAACTTAGGGCATTAATTTTTTGTGTTTCCATTATTTACCTTGGCAAAAATCAATAGGATGATTTAGTTGATTCCATTGGGTAGCGTATTATGGTCCATGACGAAAAAAATATGAAGTTGCAGTTTAAAATATTTGCCTTCACTACCATGTTCTTAGGTTTCCTTGAGCGGTGGCTGTAGAGCTTTTGCTATTTATAAGAAGTCCCCAGCTTGATGTGCTCACCCCAAATTCAATTTATAACATCCTATGTCCATCTAGAGAGCATTTTAAGACAATAAAATGATTCTCTTAAGCTTGAATCTTGCTTAACAAGCAATGGCTGGAAAGCTGACCTATATTTGATTTTGATCATTTTGACATTTGGAACATTGAAATTGAGTTCTAGAACATGAGAAATAGATGGATCAATTTTATGACATGTTATTTACTCAATCAACTTGGATTATGATGGTCTCCATTTCTATTAAATTTTACAGATTGATGCAAAATTTAAAGTATGGATTCTCTTGGCAAGCAGAGATAATCACAATATACAACTTCCTGATATTGGCGGTGACCCTTCTTTAAGTCTCCAACCCAATCTATTTATTTTGTCAATTTTTTTGGTATTTAAATGGTATCAAGAAAATATGTTGGAATGTTTGGTGTATATAAAGGCATAAATTTATGGCTTGGTGATGGATGAACCCAAAAAAGGCCAATTGAAAGAAAATTGCAATTAACAAGAAACAGGATTGGGGTTATTTTATATTAATTTTAAGATAACTAGGATTTTTAAATAAAGTTATTTTGTTGGGATATCTAGAATAACTTCTAGTTTAATTAAGTTTTATCTTATCTCATAGGATTTCTTAGGATTTATCTTTTATCTTATCATTTAGAACTGGAATTATATTATTTTAAATAATTATACCGAGGGCTCTTTAAATAACCTGAGGGTTTCATCAATTGTTAGACTTTGTGCCACTGGAATAATATTGAGTATTTAGAATATTCCTTCTCTCTCCCCCTTTCCTTTCACTGTTTTAAATCACACAGAAGACCAAAAACATCATTACTAACATTTGTCTCTAGCCAGTTCGCCATTCAACTTCCTTATATATTACTAAACAACATTGTTTTAAATGAGGAACGTTTCTGATTTGCAGCTGAGTCCATTCTTAATGAGTTAGACAGACACTAAAGAGTATACTCTACCTCCAGCGAAACCTTGTAATGCTCAATATTACCAAGAAATTTTCAAACCAGTAAACATGCCACAACCACAAGTCTATGCTTCAAGCCTTATTGTTTTGTTGGATCAATGGTAGCCCTTTTAGTGTTTATGATATTTGCATGGGAACATTAGAGAATAGAGTGGAGCAAGGTTGATGGGAAGAAACTCACACAGCCCAGAACTTTGTACATAAATCTAACAATTTGAAAATAAAAGAAGATATGATGAAGGGAAGAAACTCCACCTTGTTACATGACACAAATTGTTAGAGACAAAAAGCAAGGTGGTTTAGGTATGAAAGATCTTGTAAAACAGTACAAGACCTTCATCCTCAAACTCTGCTGGAATGTGCTTATGAACAAAAAAATAAGCTCTATGGATAAGGGTGGTGAAGGCAGAGCACAGTTGCTGGGAGGATGAGTTATCTCAGGTACATAAGAAAAAGAATGCATCATAGACTTAGAGAAGCATATGCACAGTGTGGCCACTAATTTTTACAAGGTCTTGGGAGAAGGCTAGTCTTGGGGCGGTTGAAGACTCTGTTTTGGTTGGATACATAGATGAACTTCAAAAACCTTTGGCTGATATAGTAGATAGCCAAAATAATATTTATGACATCTATGAAAAGTGGATGATTTTTGGCTCCCCACGCTGATTTGGGTATGGACAAATTAAACTCTTGTCTTTTGGTCTGCATTACCAATGAGATTACTTGCACTCGCATTCAATTTGAGAGGAGTGGTGCAGATAAATATTTTTGGAAATCATCCTGGGATGGTTTTGTTTCTTTGTTAAGTCTGCCTATTTATTTCAATTTGAAGGTACACTGCGTCGCAGAAGTGAAACATGGAGAAAGATTTGAAGAAAAGCTCTACCAAAGAAGATGAAAACGTTTTTGTGGCTTTTGGAACATGAGAATTCATATTGCATTTCTTAGAAATAGAAGAGTACTTGCACAGACTGGCAGATGCCTGCTAAGATGTGCAGAGGAGGAAACAATCATGCACATGATTGGAGGCTGTCCGCATGTAAAGGAAAAGCGGAAAAAGTTAGTGATGTCAGATTTGTGGCCACAATATTCAAACTTGGGGAGTATAACAGTGGCTAAAGCTCTGTTTGGTTGGAGGTAAATGGAGGGGAGGGGAGGGGAGGGGAGGGGAGGGATACCATTTCTTTCATTTGGTTTAAAATTTTTGGAGGGGAGGGGAGCCAAAATTTTGGCTCCCCTCCCCTCCCCTCCCCTTATTTTGGATCCCTCCAAATTGGGGTTTTTTTGAGGGAGAGCTAAGGTGGAGTTTCATATTAGAAGCAAGAAGAATCTTCACCTAGTCTGTATCGTGGAACATTTTATTCTTTTATGTTTGTTGGGATATCTGGGTCTTGAGATGTAAAAAGGCCTTTTGTAATGAGGTTAACCATACTGTAAGGATTATGCTAGATAGTTCTCCAGGGCAAGAATGATGGGTAATTTTGAGAACTCAATCAGATCTACTGTGGGGACGCACCTGTTGAGACAAAAAATGAATGTTGTTGAGCTACTTTAACCTAGAGATTGATGGAGCAGGAGCAGTCAAGTTTAATGAATGAAGCTCATGTGGTGGAATAGTGTTGGGCTTTTGCAAGATAGTGGAACTTTGCCCTCCTACCTTTACAGAGATAAAACGCATTATAGCTGGTTTGTCTTTTTGCCCTCCTACCTTTACAGAGATAAAACACATTATAGCTGGTTTGTCTTTTTGCTGGTAAAGGGGGATCAAAAAATTGCAGGTTTTATCAGATTGTGCTCAGGCAATCTGCTTCTTAGCTAGAGAAGCCATGGGTGACCATCCTTTAATGCTATTGAGAAAGTCAGGGAACGAGTTACTAGAGATTGGCATGTATTCTTTTGTTTCATTTCCAGAGATTGTAATTATAATGCAGATTGTAACCTCTCCCCATTTCAAACTGTTATCTCTTCACTAAATCGATATAAGGAGGGGTTAACTCAATCACCATATCAATTTACCAAACTGAAATCAAATAAATTTATTTAGAAAATGCTTGGGAACCCAAGACTTCCTTGTGAAAATCATTTGAAATCAGTTACATATCAGATAGTACATAGCGAAAGACATTAACCATGCATTCATCACTCACAACAAAAGATTCAAGTCAAGAAATACATACAGAATAGGGGTGGTGTGGCACAGAGCCACGGGCTCCTTGCTTGTGCCATGTGTCGCGGCTTGTTGTACCATGCGCCGTAGTGCACATAACATATTTTACTGTCATTATGACAGTTAACGAAAGTGAATTTCTTGCATACATCGTTTCCACTTGTGATGTTTGATCAGAGTGATTTAAGCCCCCACACGTAGCTTACTTCATAAGCTAACCAATAAGATAAGTTTGGACACGATCCAATGGTTTGGTCTAAATTTGGATACTCGGGTGCGAAAAGCTACTTTTCTCAAAATTTTCATGCATCAAAGCATTCAAATCGTATACCTTGTCTAATCCATTTTGAGTTTAGAACCAAGTCTAAAAGAATTATTTACACCTGATTGAATAGTTTTCATGACACACACACACACACACAGATTTGGCCATTTAATCACCTATTTACATAATTAAGGGTTGTTTATACAACTTTATACAAAAGCACTCTCTAGGCCATTCAATTCACAATTTCACCATAATATCATCACTACAAGTATACTTACACATGCACACTTTTATACAACACAATCCTAATCCCAAGTCATCTTTTACCACAATTGAGCTAGGATTCACATATCACTACAATTTCACTACATGCTCACTACTTACATGTTCTGTGGATTTTTGGAGAGAATAATATTTCTTATATTCATATTTTGATGTACAAATAGGTCCCATATATATACATTAAGAGAGATAAAGTCTAATAAATAATAATAAAGCCTAATAAATGATACTAATAATGTAATATTCCCACACTCCTCCTCAAGTTAGATAATAGATGCTAATTATGTCCAACTTGGTTATACAACTCTCAAAGGCAGGCTTAGGTAGCCCCTTGGTTAGCACATCCGCAGCCTATAACTTTGTAGGTAGGTATGTCAAGCATAGACTACCTTCCTCTATTTTCTCTCTGATAAAATGTCTATCCACTTCAACATGTTTAGATCTCTCATGCTATACAGGATTTAACGCCATGCTTATGGCAGCCTTATTATCACAATACAACTTCATTGGTGGATCTACTCTGACTTGTATTTCTTCCATGACCCTTCTTATCTAGAGTTCTTCTGTAATTCCTTGAGCTAATGCTCTTAATTCTGATTCAGCACTGCTGCTAGATACAACTCTCTACTTTTGACTTTTCCAAGTTACTAAGTTTCCCCACACAAACGAGCAATAGCCAGAGGTGGATCTCTTGTCTCTATAGGTCCCCCCCAATATGTATCTGTATAGATCTCAATTGTCCTTTGAATGCTTCTTAAATAGAAATCCCTTACCAGGTGTACCTTTAAGGTATCTAAGAATCCTGTATATAGCTTCCAGGTGTTTCTTCCTTGGATCGCACATGTATTGACTTGCTACACTGACAGCAAAAGCAATATTTGGCCTTGTATGGGATAGATAAATCAGCTTCCCAACCAGTCTTTGATATTTGTCTTTATCAATAGTTTCTTCTTTTTCCTTGCCTTCTTCTTCTTCAACCTCATCATCAAAGTTGTCTTCTCCTTCTAAATCCTCCTTACTATTTTTCTCAAACTTCTTCTTTCTCGAGACCACAATAGGAGTTTCCTTTGGTTTACAACCTAACATGCCAGTTTTCTTCAGAAGATCAAGTACCTACTTCCTCTAAGACATATATATGCCTTGTTTTGACCTCGCAACTTCCATCTTGAGAAAATATTTTAAGTTCTTAAGATCCTTGACTTTAAATTCATTACCTAGGACACTCTTTATCCTTGCTATTTCCTCAACATGATGTCCTGTAAGAATTATATCATCTGCATATACAATGAGGATGCACTTCTTGGCTCTCTCAGTCTTAACAAACATTGTATGATCTAATAATTCTTGTTTATAGCCTTCTAACTTTGGAACCTTTAAAAATCTATCAAACCATGCTCTAGGTGACTATTTCAAGCCATATAGGGATTTCTTCAACCGGCATACTTTGTCACTTCTGCCTCTATCAAATCCCGAAGGTGAATTCATGTAGACTTCTTCCTTCAATTCTCCATTTAGAAAGGCATTCTTGATATCTACTTGATGGAGTGACCATTCAAGGTTAGTTGCTATTGACAATAGAATTCTAATAGTATTTAGTTTTGCAACTAGTATAAACGTCTCTTTGTAATCTATACCATATGTTTAGGTAAAATCCCTTGCTACTAATCGTGCCTTTAACTTGTCAAGTGTGCTATCAGCCTTATACTTTGGGGTGAAGACCCACTTGCAACTAATCAATTTCTTACCTCTAGGTCTTTTAACAATCTCCCATGTTCCATTTTTCTCCAAAGCTCTCATTTCCTCCATAACTGCATTTCTTCATTTTGGTATTCCCAGTGCCTCTTGGATGTTGTTAGGAATAACAACTTTATCCAAATTAGTGATGAAGGCCTGGTAACTTAGAGAGAGCACCTTGTAGGATACATGCTTCTGAATCGAATGTAAAGTACAAGATTGAGGTTGTTTTTGGAGAGCAATGGGTAGATCAAGATCAATAGGTTCACTTCCTTGTTCCGAATCATCTGGCTCACTGGATGGATCTGTCTTTGGTACATCAACTCCAAGAACTACCTTAGGTTCTAACTTTCTTAGTGCCTCAGGTATAAGTTGCTCACTATCTTTGGATTTCTTTTTTTGAGTGTAAACCAATAACTCTCCCTTTTGTGGTCTTTCTACATCTTCCTTTGCTTTATTGTTTTTCTCAAATTTTGGCATAAGAGAAGAGGTTGGTGTTGATGAGGGTGATGGTTCTATTATTGGAGGTACTGGCTCAAGAAATACATATTTTATGTTTGGTTTGGGTTCTCAAGTCTGAGATTCACCTATGTTCTCCCTTTAAATTGAATAATTGGGATAGAATAGAGTAGCTTTATGAAAGGTGACATCAAGACTAACAAACGTGTGTTTTGTGACAAGGTTAAAACATTTGTATCCTCTTTAGGTAGGAGAATAGCCAAGGAATATGCACTTGGTGGCTCAAGATTCAAGTTTGGTACTTTGGTGGTTATGGACAAATGCTGCGCAACCAAACACACGAAATGGAAGATTGGTTTCAATATGGGTGGTGGAGAAAATACTTTGCAACTTGTGGAGAGGGGTTTCAAAAGATAAGACCTGACTAGGCATACGATTGATAAGGTAGGTTGCGGTTAAAATGGCATCCCCTCAATAAAACTTAGGCACATTACAGGTCAACATGAGTGCTCTAGCAACGTCAAGAATATGGCAATTTTTCCTTTCTGCAACCTCATTTTACTAGGGCATATGAGCACAAGAACTGGAATGCACGATACCATGCAATTGGAGAAAGGTATTCAAAGATTGGTTAAAGTACTCAATGCCATTATCGGTGTGTAAAACTTAGATGGTGGTATTAAACTGGGTTTTGATCATGTTGAAGAAATTTATGAACATGGATGTAGCCTTAGATTTGTTTTGTAAATGGTAAACCCAACAGATGCGAGTATGGTTATCAATAAAGGAAATGAAGCGTGTCACTTTAGTATGATTGGGTGTACGAGATGGTCCCTACAAGTCACTATGAATGGTTGTGAAAGATTTGGTAGGTGTGTGTTTTGCTCTGGGAAAGGACGTTCTATGGTGTTTGGCAGGCTCACACACTTCACAATGAATGTTATTAATATTCAAGTTGGGACATAAAGTTAGGAACAATAGTTGAAGATAATGGAAATTAGGATGATCCATCCTCTTATGCTACAACATAAAATCATTAACTTTAGAGGAGGATGCAAAATTACCAACAATTGAGGAGTTACTTGCTCGGGTAGAGACTTTGAAATAGTAGAATCCTTCACACTCCTTAGCACTTTCGATTGTCACCCCTGATGACAGATCTTGAAACACACAACAAGATGGGAGAAATTTAGCATAATAATTTAATTGCTTGGTCAATTGGCTAACTGAGAGTAAATTACAATCAAGTTTAGGCACAGGAAGTATAGTTTCCAGCACTATAGAATCCGAAACCCGAATACTCCCTTTTCCCGCTGCAGGTGCTAATGAGCCATTTGCAATCTTGATTTTAATATTCCCAGCACATGAGGCATAAGTGGTAAACAACTCATGGCAATTAGTCATGTGATCAGAGGCTCCAAAGTTAACAATCCACACTGTTCTATTACGTGATGGTGTTAAAGCTTGAAGGAAGGAAGCCTTTTTCGCCGCTAATGCAACAGGTGTAGTTTTGGCAACTTTTAATATGAGACATAGGAATATTATTATTCCTATAATGTTAGACATAAATCGACTCCCATACTCGAGACACATTAGACATCACAGACCCATTAAAATAGGGAAGTAGTGCGGAACATACTGGGATAAAGCACGAGTCCATGAACGAAGGTTGCCCAGACGAAGGACATACTGGGATCTGGCTGGAATCTTCAAGCTGACGTCGGAGGAAGTCATCAAAGTTGCATCGGACCACACACACTCCCCCATTCGCCAATGAAGCATCTCTAGCGCCGAACACTGTTGGGGTACATGTGACTCGCACACGCCACTGTTGGTTGTGATCTTTCTAGGTTTGGCTGATCGAAGTCTCCTCTTCCTTATGGGGCTGGCAGTGAAGGTCAACAAAGCCTCTAGCAGTACTCGTATGAACACCCAACAGTATTGTACAGGATGCAATATGTGATCCATAACCTAAAAACCCTAAAAAATTATTTTTGAAATTTTGCTAGCATGGCTCTGATACCATGTGGATTTTTGGAGAGAATAATATTTCTTATATTCATATTTTGATGTCCAAACAAGTCCTATAGATATATATCAAGAAAGATAAAGTCTAATAAATAATAATAATGCCTAATGAATGATACTAATAACTGCTAATTATTGACGATAATAACGTAATATTCCCACATGTTCATAACACATTCACAACATGATTTCAATCAAATCATAGCCCATATCACAAAATTTACTAAATGTAACATATTTTTACACATATAGGGTTAAGATTCACAAAATCACCACGTCATAATACAAAACATACGTATGAGTCCTATGGCAACTTTCATTTACAAATGTAAACAAAACAAGTTCATTACACAAACTCTTGTTTTCCATAGCAACAGCACTAGGGGCTAGCCTAACGTCTTTTCCTTTGCTTGACTCACCACTATCACACATAATGATCGGGTGTCGTTACTCTAACACCGCATCTCACAAATGCTAAGGAGCTCTGATCTCCAATATTGTATCCCACATAGGCACTAAGGAGATAATCCCCAATACTGCATCTCAATAGGTACTAAGTAGATGAAATTCTCTAATACCATATATAGTCAAGCACTAAGGAGAATAATGTCATATAAACTTCTTCCTACTTTTCCTTATGAGTAAACTCTCACCCTTTATGATCATGCTCACATATCAATCACTTATTCGCATTCAAATCTATATATATATGGTTATATAATCATATATTTCCACAAAGTCCGTTTTCTTGAAATCTATTTCTTGAAAATCCTTTTTATGCCAACCATTGATTATTTTCAAAACATGCATAGTTCAATGTAGTTTCTTGAAATAAATATAATACTTACAAATAGTTACAATAAATAATGACATAGAGAAAGTTATTCGATTATCCCAACCCTTCTATCACAAGAAAGGATTACCTGTGGATTTCTTATATGCTTGATCACCACACTATCTTCCCTTCTCAAGATATACACATAACACAATAATCTACACATAATTAGTGCTATTAATCAATTAATAAAATTGATCATAAGTACTAATTACCATCTAAAACCACATTCAACTATTCTTTTCCTTACACTTAGTGAATTTAGGTACCTTTGTCCCCACTCACCTCTTTACATTATTTATATTAATCCTAGTACACTTCTTTCACAATCTCCCTTCTCTTTTCTTTCTAATTTAGGGTCACATTAAGCATACAGTCTTTAAGCTTTATCGTTTAATTTCAAATTAGTGGCAAAATCTTAATTCAATTCCTAATAACCTTTACATTACAAAAGGGTAAGAAACAAACCCCGTAAAATTTCCCGATTCAATTTCTCCGTAGCTTATTCTAAGAGAAATTAGGATAGAATTAAAGTTAAGGGCGGTATGAAACTTACCTGGAAAGCTATTGGTCGGAAATGTCTCTCTTGGCTTCAAAATCCGATGCCCTAGCAGAGCAAAGCTCTTTTCTCTTTTCTCTGCTCAATTTTCCTTTCTTTTCCTCCAAAACCCATTAGTTTCCATGTAATTATTATCTTATTTTCTATGGTGTGTGCTGTGGCACAAGTAGCATTAGCAGTGGCGCGTGGCATAGTGAGGAAAATTCTCACCATGTGCACACGCTTCATTCTAGAACTTAATCCTTTCACCCGTATCTACTCATCCAACATTCCAAAGAGTCAAAATATCAAATCATCATTCAAAAATCCTAATCACTCACTAATTACTAATTTATCCCTAATTAGAAATTAGTTTCAAAATTAGGAAATTAGGATCTTGTATAGATTCATTAGCTAAACTAGCCTTGGGGCTTAGTCATGATTTTCATATCTTTGAGCAACTTCTACCTATCTTGGGAAGAGTCGGAGTTTGATCAAAGGGGTATTGTTTGTTTCTTTTTTGTTGTTTTGGTTGTAGTTTGTATGTTCTTTTCTGAGTAATGATATGCTGTACTTCCAAGTCAAAAGAAGAAAAAGAAAAAACACTATATTAAATTAGCTATAGGATATGCTGGCTAGAAGATATTGGTTTTACAAGAAATGTTGTAACTTGAAGCAATATAAAGTTCTGATCCCCCTTCTCGAGAAATGGATGTTCTCTTTTGTTGTCTCACTAAACTGCAACATTTTTATGACGTTCTGCTTTTAGAGCCCAAAAAAAATGATGGAACCCCAACCCATTAGGATACCCTGATATATGCTACTATTATGTCCAATATTATTGTCTTTAACCGAGGGTAATCTGATACAACTACTTATAAAATGCAGGTGATATATGTTAGACCAGGATATGAAGCTGATCTTGATTCTCTGATACAAGATACCATCAGGCTAAACACCCCAATCAAAGTATAATATGATGGAAAGACATTATTCAATTTTGTCATTCATTAATTGTGTCATTCAATCCTTTTAGGATCTAGTATGTAATCACTTGGTTACCATATTATACTTTTCACCCTTAGTTTAATGAAAAGGATCATGTGGATATTAAAACAATGAACAGTTTTATCATTGAAAGTCAATTTCACTTATCAGTGGAAAATTTTCTGTGGTATTTTTTTAATTTTATATGTTATTGGTGTTATGATATTATTGTTGAGATAAAATTGATTTTTGGAAAATGAAAATGTGACTTTCAAGGAACTATTTGTCGTCAATTAATTTGGTTGGGTGTTAATCTAAATAATAATTGCACATCATTATGAAATTGTTTGCAATTTAAACATGCACATTATTTTTTTTTGTCAACTTTGAATGACACATTTTAGAAGTTACATTGTTTTCTAAGGTTATTATAGACAATGTAAGCCTTTTTTTTCTTTTTTTATTCACTCTTTTCCCCCCTTTCTCTGCAGGATACTTGCTCAGAGTTGTGCGAGAAATCTGAGGCCACATTACAGTGTAAGCATTTGTTGAAAACTTGATAATGATAACAGGGTTTCCTTTTGCTTTTAGTAATCAACAAAATGAAGCTCCAAGGTCAGTTTAAAAATTGAAGGAAAATTGATGAAAAAGCATGGACTGGCCTGTTTTTAGAAGTGTCATGTTGAACTCATTCCAACAGCGACACTGCATGGCATTAAGTTGACATGCATCTAAACAGCATATGAAGATTTCAAAATAACTGTTGTTTTACAAAAAGGAGGTGAACAGATGTAAAATAAAAGACTAAATAACTCATCTTGATGAAATAATCAAAGTTAGTTTCTAATTTTTTGGTACATGAATAATTCAAATAATATTAGTGTCGTTAAAGTCGCTCAGGCACTGAGACAAGGTGCAGAATAGCCTTATTGCCTCTCGTGTGAAGAGAGGCGATGAGTTCACGTAGGCTCTCAAGGCACCTTTCTTGAGCAAAAAGCAAGCTCCTTTTGGAGCCTGGTTGCGATTTCTCACAGTATTTATGCATAAGATCTCACCCCTCGTGTGATGAGAGGCAATGAGTTTACTCAGGTGCTCACCTTTGGATGCCTTGTGCTCTTTGCTCGAGCAAAAGTGAGCGCCTTTTGGTGTCTGGTTGCAATTTCCCAAAGTATTTATTCATAATGCACAGCATGATTGTTAGCTATATCTATATGTTCTTCACATGACACAATATTTCAGAGTATTTATATGAAGATGAATTAAATTTGCATTTAGCATTTTGTCTATTATTTTTTGTCTATACATTATGCATTTTCACAACACCTTGCTTCACTTGGGCACGCTCCTTTCTTTTGCCTTTAGAAGTCTTGCACCTGGAGTGCACTTTTTGCCTTTAACAGCACTTACTATACTGGATTTGATTTGGATGATGATAGTGAAGAGATTTAAATATATAGAATAATGCCACTTGTGTTTAATTATATAGGGGAGTCATAGTTTACACAATTTCACATACATACACACTTCAACTGATATATGTCATGCCAAATTCTACACACACACATTTTTGAAGTTTCATGTGGCTGCATGTTTGTGTTGATGCTTTAAGAGAAGAAACGTTTTTGTTTCAGTTATTGGAGGGATAAACAGTTCTATTGATAAAAGGTGGTCAAGGCTATATGAGCTAAAAAGTGCAAGGCTATAATTAACGGCATTCATAAACAACAAACAGGTGCGGGTAAATGTGGAGCTGGCTGAGGATATATGTCTACATGTTCATGCACAACACGCGCATATGTATTTATATGTACTAATGTTGCGTTGTTTATAATTTGTACTGGTTATTTCTTAAGACTTGTGCTTTATTTGTAGGCATAAGTTATATCTTTCACATTTTTGGCATATGTTATTAGAATTTTGGTATATTTGTAATTAATAGTCAATATTTATAAGATCATTTGTCTGCACATTTTGATCATTAGTCATGGTATCATTGTTAGCTTGATTTTCTTCCTTTTCATCTAGCCAGAGACTATCAAGAGTAAGATTTATGATTTCATCTTCTTTGTTTTTATCTGATAAGGATTCATTAAATCTGACATGATTTGACTCTTCAATAGTTAAGATTCTTTTGTTAAATACTCTACAAGTTTTGATTTTATTAGAATAACCTAGAAACACAGCTTTGTTACTCTTAGAGTTAAACTTATCTAGATTATTTTTATCATTGTTAAGTACAAAATATTTACAGTCGAAAACATGTAGATGTGAGATGTTAGGCTTTTTTTCTTTGTAGAGCTCATAAGGTGTCTTGTTCAAAATTGGTTTCACATAAACTCTATTTGTGATGTAGCAGGCTATGCTCATGGTATTTGGCCTATGAACACTGTATTTTGTTCGAGCATTATTTTTAATAACCAAAAAATATAAAAATACAAAAAAAAAGAAAATTTTCTTTTTGGATTATATTTTCAAATATATATATATATATATATAATACAAAAATAAGATTTAATCCTTCTAAAGATTATATATCTTTTAAAATAAAAAGATTAATTAAAATTAAAAATAATAACCTTGCTTAAATTTTTTTTAAAAAAATATTTTTCAAATTATTTCAACAGCAAGAAAATTGTGAGAATCAACTTCTTAAGAATTAAGTATTTTTACATTTTTGTAGATTTGATTGTCTCCCTTATATGTACATATACATAATAATAATAATAAAATAATTAAAAACTAAAAGAAAAGAGAGTTAGGTTTTAAGAAAATAATAATATAAATAACATGGAAATCAAGGGTTAAACGCTAGAAAATCCAGTGTTTAACTAATTCCTCTATCCATTCTTCCAGGTGTAGCAACAGGAAGCAAATAAAAAAAATTATCGACTACGCATGCACAGATTTTTCGTTACAGCATAAAAAAAAACAAACAGAAATAGTACACATGAAACACAGAAATAGGGCAGAGAAATGCTGAAACATTAAAAAAAAACAGAGAGAAGAGAAACAGATCCTCTTCAGCTAGCCATAGTAGCCTGCACGCACAAAATACACACAAAAAGAAAGCAGAAGCATGGATGCAGAAGACAGGAAAAAGAGAACACGCACACACATGCACTTTTGGCTGAGCATAGAAAAGGCAAAACAGAGCAAAAGGAGCAGCAAGCAACCAGTACATGCACACACACACTTTCGGCCATCAGGAGAAAAAGAAATAGAACCAGGAACGCATGCATTCATGCAACAGGTGGAAGAATAGAGAAATAAGACTAGAAAGGCACACACACGAAAGACAAAGATAGGGGAGGTCAGGTGCATGAAAATGCAGCAAAAAAAGGGGAAAAAGCAGAAACAGAGAGAAGGCGAGACAGCAGCTGAAGCATGTGAAGAGCAAACAGCAGGTAAATAATCATGACTTCAAAAAAAAAGCATCCCTCCTATCCTCTATATAAAGCTAAGACAGAGAAAGAGAGGGAGGACGAACAGACGAGAGCAATATACCAAGAAGAAGGTGGAAGGAAGAGCATCGAGACTGAGAGGAAGAGACAGACGGAGGAGCTATTTTGGCTAGAAAAATAGGAGAAAACGGAGAGAGAACTGAGACGATAAGGAGAGAGAGCTGAGAGGGGAAAAGACTGAAACAAAACCAGAAGCTAACACTGAAAAGAAGAAGCACACAGCAAACGTAGAAATAGAGCATGCACTGGCGGTAGCTTATCAGATGAAGGACGCATAAATTCTTGCATGCACTGAGACAAAGCTAGAGCTGACACTAAGATGAAACCAAAGCTGACACTAGTATGCCATACTTGTTTTGGCTTCATCGGTTCTAAACTCTTGCAACATTGCTTCATTGGTTCTAAATTCTTGCAACAAATATGTATGTAAATTTCTATCATCAAAGGGACCCTTAATGATAACTACTCATATTTGAAATAAGGAAATATGGAAGTTTTAAGAGTTCAAGTATGGATTGGGAATATTTAAGAAAATATTTGAAGAGAAAGTAGCTTTATATCATTGTATTTACTTTCTTTGAATAATAATGTTGCATACCTTAAATATGCTCTAACATGTGTTTATATGCTTTTACAAATGTGGTTGATTTAGTTATAATACTTTTGCATAATGGTTTTTTTTTATATTCTAACATTTTGAACAAAAATTTTATTGTTGAGCTAAGTGATAAGAAGATGCAAGTTTGTCTTCTAGCATGAAAGAGTATTAATCAACCTAAATTTAATTTTTATTTCTTTATTTTTCAAAGTCATACATTATTTTGTGTTTAATTTTCATTTAATAATAATTGATTAATTCTTGAAGATAATTTTGATTTTACATGACATCATTTTCATATGGAGATTTTAAATGTGTGGTTAAATGAAGGAGTTTGTTCTTATTATTTTACAAATATAATCAATTAAAACATTTGAATGGTATCGTGAGAGATTAAAAAAATCTCCGTAGATATTTAGCTTAATCACCTCATTGTGAAGGATAATCAGTCCTCGCAAATATCGTGGTCATTAACTTATAAAATAAATAAATAAATAAATTTTGTAAATAAAATTATAATTTTTTTATATAATAAAATTAATTAATTAAATTAATGAATTAAATCTTTTGGTCTTGTGAGATTTTTGAATATCCATCAACCTCTAAAATAATCATCTTACCATGAAGGTCAATAAGACTTCGTAGGTATAGAGATTAAGATTTTTATATTTTAAAATACAAATTATATAATTACATATTAAAATATTTTTAAAATATATAATATTTAATCCTGTATGGTGAGGATTTCAAATCTCTGCAGATATTTAGGATATTTATATTGCCGTAAAAGTTAATAAGACTTTGCAGGTATGATGATTAAGAGTCTTTTAAAAAAAAGATACGTATATATGAATGCACTAAAAAAATAATAATAAAAAAACTTAAGTAAATAAACTAAGTTGTTAAACTCTTTTATCGTGTGATAGTTTGGATTTTTCGCAGATATAAAGAATAATTATATTATCGTATGAGCTAATAAGGCTCTACAAGTATAACAGTTAAATTCTCGATCATAAGATATAAAAAAAATAAAAAATAAAAATAATTTTTAAACCCTTTACCTTTTTCTTATCCCAAAAATTCAAAGATTAAGAAAATGATTGAAATTAAATCACTTTTTGCAATTTAAAACACACACATCAAAATATTTAAAAATTATCTTATTTGCAAAATGGTGAATTATTTCTAATTAATTTCTCTTCAAAAATATTTTCACTAATAATATTTTAAGCTCGAACTACGTGGACTTTGATCCCTATCACAGGGTACGTAGGCCTCAGAGTTAGATTCTGAGTCAAGTCCTCTCTCATAAATAGATAAATATTTTTTATTTAATTCTTATCATTTTTATATCAAACATATGAATATAAAAGGGATAATTAAAATAATTTTAAAATCATATTTATATAGCACAACAATCTTCAGGTGTTGTTCTTATGAATGAGTGTTGTGGGGTGCCTAATACCTTCCCCACACTCAATCGACTCCCGAACCTATTTTCTGTTTTCATATACCACCCTTTGTAATATTTCATAACCTTTGTAATATAATTGACTTATGCTTAAAAGGTTATGTCTTAAACCATCAACAAGATAAACATTATCTATGCAAGGAAAGTTGGAAGAAGTCTTACCAACCTTATCTATATTGAGAATTCTGCCTTTTTCATTGTTTCCAAAAGTGATAGTCCTACCATTTTTAGTTTCTACCATGTATAAGAACATTGAGTTGTCACTAGTCATGTGTGATTCTCCTTGATACCTATACAAATGTTAGGTATTCTTAGGTATCCAAATTTGATTGAGTCCTGATGTGTTAGTAGACCCTTTTAGAACCTACTTCATATTTTCACTTAACCCTTGCTTCCGATGAATACATGACTTAGTCATATGTCCTTTCTTGTTACAATAAAAGCAGGTGAACTTGGGTGAGTTAGTCATAGTGGTAGGAACTTACTTATAGAATATACCAATCTATACACAATTGGCACAATTAGTCAATTGATCCAATTGACCAAAAACTACTTAATTGTCAAATAAGGCTATAACTATCCATTCATTCATTTCCACTTAGCTTTTCTAAGTTCATTATCACTCAATTACCACTTTACAACACTTCAAATAATCTCATTTGACTCTAACACCATTTCCACCCTTATTTCTATTGAATTAGGGCCAAATTTGAGTTTAGAGGTTTAAAACTCTATTGTTCAACTCCAAACTAGTCATAAAACTCTAATCTAACTCTCGAGAACCTTTTTATTAGTATTAGGTAAGAAACTAACCCCTTAAATTTTTTCGATTTAATTTCTCTATAACTCATGCTAAGAGAAATTATAGTAGAATTAGAGGTAAGGGTTGTACAAAACTTACCCAATAAGTTAACAATTAGAAATGCCTTCCAAGATCCCAAACTTTCTTGCCCTATCAGACCTTTATTTCTTCTCTTCTCCCCTTGTGTTTTCTATGTTTTCCCCTTTTGAATTCCAAGCTAAATCACAACTTATCAGCCAAGTTTCTAGTCAATGCACCACGGTGTAGGCAACATCATTCGCAACACATGGCACAACAAGAAAAATTCTCGCCGCGCACACACGCTTCGCTCTGAAACTCAATTCTTCTACTTGTATCTGCTCATTTAACACCCCAAAGAGTCAAATTATCAAATAATCATTCAAACTTCTAATCATTTACTGATTGCTAATTCACCCTTGATTAGTAGTTAATTACAAAAATTAAAAAATCAAGATGTTATAGCTTTGGTCCTAACCCTAGTCATTGGACCTCTAATCCCTTATAATAGATCCTTGAGCATGCCCTTGTTCCTTAGCTAGGCCATCACATAATATCTTTATGAAGTCATTTATGCTAAGCTGACTAATTTATTTTAAGGATACAATGATGGTAAAAGGAATATTCATATTCTCAAAAGAAATATTCTTTTTTC